GTTATCGCTATATGACTTAAATTACGAGTACCATAAATGATTTTCAGTTCAGTCTTCAGTCGCACCTCTGTTATTACCAGTAGGCGGAAATTTATCTTTTCGGGTGCAATTCCCCAGTTGAAGCAAGGTGTGTTTTACGGCGAGTAGCGGGGACGCTTTGATCTGGTCCACAAGGTCGTAGCCAGTGCGTCCCTAGGAGTGTTTACAGCTTGTTAAAAAACTACTTCTATATTACTATATTACTTCAAAAAATAATACTCGATGCCCTTTTTAATTTTTCAAACACAGGACCACAGATTTGTGATCTTGAAATGTTATATTATGGTGATATAGTCCAAAAGAAAAATATATTTGTAATCAAACTATTGCCGCGACAGCACTGGATCTAGCGTATGAAACACAATTCCGCCCGTTGGTTATTACATACGGCAGACGTGATTAAATTGTTTCGTTATTTTATTGATTATAAATCGCTATTCAAGGATAACAATAATACAATACTTAGATTTATTATCAGTATGACAATGCATCTACCCAAACTAATATATGCGTACTTGCAAAAATGTGACATCAACACAAAATTTTGTTATAGAAAAACTCACTTGTAACAAACGGTTATCACGTTTCTTTACCTTCACTCAAACATGAGGTACATATTTTTATTTTAGCTTATAATGGATGCCATAAAAACAATAAAATTCGTAAAATCAAATCTTTTAATTTTTCGAAAGAGCTGGATTTGACAAGCTGTATTTAAAGGACGAGAGAAGTTCTGTCAATGCAATAATTTTTTTTTTATATTTTGTGTCATGTCAATCCTTTTATAGCCTGATGATGTCTATGTTGCAATAAAAGAAACTGTCGCAGAAAAGGTTGTGGTCTTGTTCTCCTCGTCTTTTATTTCAAAAAAACTGCTCATCAACAACACCTACAATTAAATCCCAAACGTAAAAACCAACTACGTAGCATTATCCATTGTAGTGTTTCAATATGTTTTGAAATTGACATAATTTATACTTTGCGAGCGTAAGTTAAAAAAGTATTGTAATAGGATCCATCGGGTGACTGGCTACGTTCATGTTTTCTAGCGTGTGTTTTTGTATGTATGTGGTCTGCCTGTCTGTGTGCCTCTTTGTCATCTGGCGACTGGGGTCTGGCGTCTCGCGTCTGACGGCTGTCGTCTGTCGTCTCTCATCTCTCGTTTGTCTATCTCGATTTTTATTAGATAGTGATACTGGACTAATTGTAGTCAAATTTTGTATGTGTTTTAGGAATATCGCGTATATGGTAAAACGCTATTTTTAGATAATCATCACCAACAATTTTATGTCCTCCGCTCAAAATTTTTGTTAGTAAACACCATTTAAATTTTAAAAAATAGCGTACTCTTGTACTTTATGAATCCGCCTTAATTTTTTTACCCTAGGCATCTAAATTTTTGCAAAATCAAAATTTCGTAATTACAGTTTATACCAGTATAGGAGCACTGACGTGTTAAAACTCACTGATCGTAGTGTAAAGATATTAAATTACAAATGTGAACATCACTGCTCCGATTGACTCATTGGTCACATTGTTTTTTATTGATAAAATTAGGGACGATTCACACTATTTTCTCGAAAATTTGGGCATACAGTAATAATGAAATAAGAATTATCTTAATAACGGCTATTTATCGAAAATAATATTATAATATAAAAAATATATAATAATTTCAGTAGCCTTGTCTATTTTGAGGACCTAGCTTGATACATTTACATAAAAAATAAATTAAATTCGCCAAATAATTTTTTTATTACTTCCTGAGCGTAAGCTACGGAAGCATAGTAATCTAGTCCATTGGACGAACGGCCATGTTTTTTCCCGCTTTCGCCTGTCTGTCTGTCTGTCTCTCTGGCGTCTGTGCGATTTTTATTATAATTACACATAATCTCCGAAAATACTGGACCGATGGTTGTCAGATTTTCTATGTATCATAGGATTAATCATCCCCATCAACAATTTGATGACGTCATTCCAAAGAATTCTATTTAAAATTATTTAAATGTTATACAGTAATATACTCCTATATTTGTGGTGTACAAATCCGCTTTGAGTTTTTCCTAAACGTCTAAATGTTCACGAAAAAAATAACATAGTATAATAAGAGTTTACCATTGGCGTATGATATCCCGACCGTAGTTCAGTCGGTAACAACTCGAAACGCGGACCCACGCTCGATGCCAATCTTGGCCGTTTGTTCTTTCTCTCGCGCTATGTATTATCTATGTTTATGTCGTCATAACAAATTTTTATTGAACAAATGAAGAATGAGTCATCCCATTTTCTCGTAAAAAGTGAGAATACGCACGTATTTATTTAATAAGAATTATAATAATAGTAACAATATACAGAACATTATGTTCCAGTGTGGCTTAAGTAATAATTTTAGCTGAGGCTACCAACTCATTGAATCAAATAAATTTCTACGTGGCATTCTTCCAATGTATAAACAGGCATTTGAAATTAAAGCTTGTTATTACTGCTGAGAGGCCATTTTTTCCCGTTGGTTATTTACTTTAAATATATTTTACATTGTCTGTACCTGGACAATCCCTTGCAATTTGAATTTGCGCCCCCACTGCGCAGGAGCTGCGAGTGCGTTATTTATGTCGCTTGTTTTTACTTTGTAGAGGTTACGACAAAAGAAACATCACAAAATCTAATGTTATAATTTTTCAAAGAAGCAGGATTTATGGGATTTGTACTTTAGGCGCGAGGGAAGTTCTGCCGAAATAAATTTCGACCAATTTTTTTTATTAAATGTACTTCAAGGGTGAGGAGAGTTCTGTAAAATAACTTTAGACCGATTTAAACCAATTTTTTATAGAAATTGTACATCTTGAATACGAATAAGCGGTTCGCCATAATCCTATTCCTTTCTGTATATTTATTAGATTTTATAAATTCTAAAGCGATTTTTAGTGAACCGTGAATACATTTATGCCTGGAGAAAAATTCGTACTTAAGAAATTTATGTAGTTTTATTTAATCGAGAGCGCGTCCACAACGTAAAGATTGTTTTCACACTGTTGCATCTCTAAAATAAATTTTGAAGTATATACTTAAAGCTCAAAGCTGTGAAACTATTCATAGTTTCTTAAGTGAATACCTTAGTGCATTAATATATACTGTGAGAATTACAAAAAAAAAAATGGATACACAGCGGTTAATAACGTCTGAAGACCGAAAGCGCATCCCAAATTTTCAAAACTTAACTCTTAAAAACAAATGATGTAATAACAGCAACTATCAACACGGCGCTTTCATATTCGTTCCTAAAATGCAGTTTCTGCAAAAAATTAATGCATTATTTTAATTGCTCGGGCGCTTTTGACAAATTACTTCCCGGAATTTGTATGGATTTTTTCCGGATTTTACCTGCACAATATATATTTTAAGCACCTGTGCTCCTCTTGCTTACAGGTGCTTAAACCCAGGCGGTGACTTCCACACAAAAAATATAGAATGTCATACAACACTGAAACTGATTTATGTTTATTTCGTATTGGTTAATCTGGGAAATATTTATTTTTTACTTCAGAAATATTTTAATATTATAATACATTTACATTTACGATCTCCAGATCGTATAAATAAGTTATTATGGGCTTACAAAGTAGCCAGTCTCCTGCAGAGACTGCCAACATAAAATAAAGCAAAAACTCCGGAAGAAAATTTCTGCATGAAGAAGTCCAACAACATCCCGAAAATATTGAGTCGTACAACAAATTAAATTTCATATGACCCGATAGAAAATTCAAAGGCAACCAAAACAAAATTTTGAACAACTGACTGAACAAATCCGGAAATAGCTCGGAATACAAATTGCGGTGCAAAAGCGATCTTGTAAGCAAGAAGCATTCGCGCTCCTTTAGAAGAGACAACAGCTTTTGTTGCATCTTAATGAAATTTTCTTATTTTTTCGCTTTAATATGGATATTTCCTCGTAGGCGAGCGGAAAGTTTGAAATTCAGTGTTTTCCCAATGGAATCAGCAGAACGTAAGCGTGCTTTTTAAAGAGAAAAGTGTGCCAACTAATTTTAATTAATCTCTGTACGGTTCTCTAGCGGCTCGCGATTCTTTGAGGAATTCCGAAAAAATTAACGAGTGCAGCTGAAAATAATCCACTTAAATATAGATATTCTTGTAGCTTAATGCCGGCTTTCGCCTGTTCGGTCGCAGATGCTCCTGCAAATTTTATATTTTTCGATCAGAGCAGGAAAAGTACCGCTAGCACCCCGGTGTGTTCATTTTATAGCATCATCAAAAGCCTTCATCAGATCGCGTGACCAGAATAACGCAACTGTAATCTCTAAAGTCTGTGTAAAAAATCGAGATTTTATTTTAATCCGAGTTGACAACGAAAATTGCACCTCGATATCTGTTCGGACAACGTAACCCTAGGCGATTTATCGACGGGCGCTTTTGCCTTGACAAATTTAGTGCAGTTATATCATTAAATTTAGCGGGAGATAAAAGGCTCCAAGCATCTGTTACAGCGACTTGCCTAATTTCTCATTCTGACTTTTACCCAGGTGGTCTCCACTGATTTTGAAAATAAATATGTTTTATGCAGCTTGAGCGTCTACCATTCATCAAAATGTATGAGGGAAGCACTTCACTGCTCCAGAACGAATTGTATCGCCTTATTAAATTAACGGGATTGCACGGTGACAGCCGCTTTTTAAATTATCCCAACAGTCGCTTAAATCAAGTTAATTGCTAACGCAATAAAATTTTATAACCCCCGTGCTTAAAAAAAAAGCGCCGAACTGTGCTGTCATTATTTATTCACGATGCGTTGGTAGTAAAGAAACTTTTAGGTTGCGTTGTTGTATTGAAACTTTGCTTGTAAAAACTTTTTATGATATATCGTGTTTGATACCAGATGAACTACAGTTGTTGCCAAAACAAACTTTACCACATCCACGGGAACCAGTAATTAGCGCAAAACTTACCTGAATTATTTATAAGCTCATTTTTCGAACGAAAATATCAGCATCTGCCCCAAAAAAAAGCCCTCGCTGGGAAATACCCAACTCCAAAAACTAGTCAAACGCACAAACGTCCATTTGTTTTGAAACATGGATTTCAGTTGTGTAAAGTTAGGGTCGCGGTGGCTTCGGTGCTACCAATAAACTGAGGCGAGTCGACGCTGTGTTTCCGACGGAGATCGACGACGCCAAGCGTCCAAGGCGCCGGTGCGGTAATCCGTACCACATTTTCAAATCACATGGAAGAAAATTAATTAAGCGACCGATCGAAAATTCGACATTTTATTAAAACGGTTATTGTTATAACACTGAAATGAGATGACTGCTTTGGACTTTATTACTTATCACGTTCTAAAACTTCACGGTTCGAACAAGTTTTCGTACTCGTAAGTAATATAAGTGCAAATACCAGAGAATACGGATTCGCGTCAGATTAACCGGATAGAAGGGGGTAACAAGATTAGTTTTTTAATTTGGATTGTCTAAATGGTCGTTTGTTTACTAGTTAACTTTCTTGATGTGTTACTAAAACATTTTAAAAGTCGCTTGTAGAGGCAATTCGCTGGTAGGTTTTGTTTGTCTGGTTTTTCTTTTTTTTATAAATCTGGGGCGCCACGACCTACTTGAAAACTTACAAAATCGGTCAAACCTAAAATTAAATTACACGTCGGTAAAAATTTACGTTGGATCCAATCAAAGTTTACATGTTATATATAATTACCAGTTCATTGCTGTTTAAGCAGTTTTAATTTTAAATCAGTTCCACAATTAATTCAAAATTTCTCTGTATTCTCTATGTTGGTCCAATATATAGAATTGCCAAGCGCTCTAATTAACTAAAAAAATCTACATTGTTTAAACAGTGCTTTCCTCAGTTTTCCCGTGCATGTCAAGGGGTACTTTTTAAAATATCCCCATAAATTTTTAAATTTAAATTTAAAATTTTTGACTTTCATATAGCCACCATCAAAACATTCCTTCGTCTTACAATTTGCAATTTCCCGAGAATTTATTTACTATGACCACGAAGCAATTAATGAATCGTAGAACAAGAGTTGTTCTTTGTTTTAATGTTAGATGCTTGATTGTGTTTATTTATTTATCTGTAGCAATTACTTCAACGCAAATTAACTGTTTTCTTCATCCATGCGCAACATTTATTGGCTTAGCATCTAATTTCAAGTTGACTGCATCAGCGTAAATTGAATTTTCCATGTAGCAACACTATTCAGATTATTTGTAACCCACCAACGTCAGAAACTGATTAAATATTAAAAAGATCGGTCTAAAGTTATTTCGAACTTACAATCCAACAATGAATTTAATTTTGAGAATTTTATTATTTATTATAACAGCTATAATTCGATACAAATATATGTGTGAAGTGTTAAAGTACAGGTAAAGAAGGATCCAATAGACTGACGTAAATAATATGCGACGAGGGGGTTGCAAGGTCCAAGGGAGCGCACTCCGCACAGGTACGGAGAACATGAAGTATACGTCAAGCAGATAACTAACGGGAAAAATATGTTATCACTAAATGCTTAACTTCGACTGTTTCGATTATTATTAAGCACGTAAGGATGCCGGTTGGCCATATTAAGCGCCGACAGATAAAAAGTGTGTATTTGTGATAAAAGAAAATTAAATTGGATTGATTTTTTTTTCAAAACAGAGGGGGCGAAGCGTTCTGAAGATTATTTTGGGCAAGCAGCTGTTATTATGATAATTATGATTTTATTATTGTTAAATATAGGCGGGAGCAACATTACTCAATTCGACATTCTCAAATTTTCGCAACAATGGGGTGAGTCGTCCTTGACTTGAAAAATAAAAAGAATTGGTCGAAGATTACTTCCACAGAACTTCTCTCGACCATAAAGTCCAGCTTGTCAAATCCAACTCTTTGGAAAAATAAAAAAAAAAAATATTTTAAGAATTTTATTGTTTTTGATGGGAACCATTATAACCTAAAATAAAAAGGGACGCATATATCAGTTTGAATAAATGCAGTGTAATACTAATAATAAAAGTATTGTATTATTGTTATAGTGAATTATAATCAATAAAAATAACGAAACAATTTAATCACGTTTGGTACTCTTAGTTTCAGACAAATAGCGATAACACTGATCAACCTGTAGACGTGAGAGTGAAGCAGAAAGTAAACTAAAGGATGTTTTCTACGGATTGCAATAACCGGATCACAATGCCGACGGTCCAGACTTTTTTATCGCTCTGACTTCCGCTTATTGAATAAAACACTACATTTTATTTTCAATTTCGATGTTGTAATTCACATTTGATTAATTAGAACTTGTCTAGATCTAGGGGAGGGTTATGAAATATGGAGAAAATATGAAGTACCAAATTCTACTATGGACTCCATTACTGTATGTCCTTAGCTTATCCTCGATAACAAAAACAACTTGAAAGTGTTTATGTTTGTACATCGGAAGAATGTCACGTAGAAATAAGTTTAATTTGAACGAATTCGTCCCCTCAAAACATAGGATCAAAACTATTAAGTAGTAAGCTACAATCGACAAGATGTTCTGAATATCATTATTATATTATAATTCTTATTAAAAAGAGACGTTTGTATTTTCACATTTTCGAAAAAATGGAATGCTTTGTTCTTAATTTGATAAATAAAAAATATTATTACAATGATGAATCGCATGTAAAAACTCATGATATTTTGCACACTTTGGGTTGAATTTATTCGGCAAAAATTTGAGATAACGTCATCAATTTTTTCCAGGGAATAAACAGATTTATTTTGATTAACAATTTACCATGCTTACAATGACTTTAAAACACCTGCAACATTTCCAAGCATTCAGTTTTGCAATTCTTGAATTAATAAAAAAAATAAATTGTCTAATTTATTAATTTTTTTTAATCACCCTGTATAAACAAATTTAAAAAATATGAATGCAGTGATAAATTACAAGCATAGACCGATCATATTTTGCACATTTTAGATAGCATTTATTTAGCAAAATTTTGAAATGACGTCATCAACTTTTTGGGGTTGATAAACAGATACATTTTGATTAAAAAGTTACCATGCTTACAATAACTTCAAAACGTCTGCAAGATTTCAAAGTATTCAGTTTTACCATTCTTAAACAATAAAATAAACTCACTCAGTCATTAGTTTTTTAAGACACCCTGTATAAGCAAATCTAAAAAATATTAATGCACTGATAAATCACAAGTATAGACTCATCATACTTTCCGCATTTTAAGATTTATTCAGCAAAATTTTGAGATGAGGTCATCAATTTTTTAGGGGATGAGCAAATATATTTCGATCAAAAATTTATCATGCTTATGATAACTTTAAACATTTCCAAGATTTCAAAGCATTCGATTTTTTAGTACCTTATTAAATCAATAAAATAAATTCACGCATTTAATTTTTTTTTAGTCACCCTGTACATATAACAAATCCAGAAACAGACTCATCATCCTGTCTATTAACCTTAAAACATCTACAAGATTTCAAAGTATTCGGTTTTGCAGATTCAAAACTTAATTGCAAATAATGTTGTGTTATGATTTGTAGGACTATGTTATTTTATACAATTTAAAACCCATTCACTATGTACTATTTTGAAGCGGTGTTATTACATTATTGGCGGGGATGATTAAACAAATTTTGGTTAGCGTTTTACGACCTACACGATATTCCTAACATAAATACAAAATTTGACAACAATAGGTCCAGTACTTTCGGAGATTATCTGTCTAATAAAAATCCGTGACGGCAGACAGACAGACAGACGAAAAATGGAGAACGCAATCAAAATATGTATCAAAAAACGAAGTCAAGGCGGATTCATAAACCACAAATATAAGCGTATGCTATTTAATAAAATGTAAATAAGATTTACTATGCAAAATTTTTAAATTTCGAAATGTCATCACACTGTTGACAGGGATGATTACACAAATTCTGGTTAGCGTTTCACCATCGACACAATATTCCAAAAATATCCATAATTCCATATAAATAAAATAAAACAAAAATCGACGCGACGAGTACCTGTAGTAGCAGATTTTTCAAAACCAACAACAATTTTTTGTATCCTGTACATTTTTTTTTTTTGAAATTAGACAAGATGATTAAACAAATTAATCAGTCAAGTAATTTTAAGAACACAACACTATAGTTATTAGGGTAAAATGGAAGGTAATAAGATTTATTCATTGCGCACAAAAAAATTTGGCAAAATTTTGAGGTGAACTTATTAAATTGCTGATGGGGATAATATGATCAATTTTATTAGTAACTTAAGATTCGACACAGATGACAGACAGACAGACAGACGGAAACCGCAAATATGGACCCTATTACAAGACTTGCTTAGTTTACGTTTGGAAAATAAAACTACTGTCTTTAATAGCAGATCGTCTATGCAAAATTTCAGTTACCTAATGCCAAAAACTGGTCTACTAAATATTCCGCTGATTCCATACTTTTGTCTAAAGTTTTATACTTTATACTCTTTCTAAATAAACTACAGTCATTTACTAAATTTTACTCAGAGTACTCAGTAACTTACCAAAGCATTTTTATAAAATAAACTCTAAATCTAAAAATCCGGTATGTAGCTTTTCAGATAAACGGAAAATTTTGATTATACTAAGTATTTAATTAAATTTTTTAGGATAATTGTTATATTTTACAATAAGTAAAGCAGAGGTGGATTATTAAACCACAGATAAAATGAATTACATTACATTACATTAATAACATGTTAAGATGACGTCATCAAATTTTTGGTGAGGATGAACAAACAAACTTTAATGTGTATTCTACAAGTTGAACAGTTGTAATTGATGTAATAAAAACGAAATTAAGACCATTTTGTGTCAGTCATGAAACGTTGATGGCTTTCAAGACCATTGGCTGCTCATGTTTCCCCGTAAAAATTTTCCGTTGCAGCGACCTTATTATGATGAGAATCGTCAATTTAACCTTCAACAGCGACGGTTGATCTCCAGCCATCGTGTCTTCTAGACCTTGTAGATCCACCTCGACGTTTGTAGGTAATTGTCCATACACAGAAAAGGAGTTAACCAATTCGAGTATTATGAAAAGACCCGCAATTTT